TGGAGTGGTAGGAGGAGTGGAGGAGATCGGTTGTTAGGTGAGGGTGGGGTAGGCTTCCCTGAAGAGATGGGTTTTCAGGGTGCGCCTAAAGGTGAGGAGGGTAGGTGACGGTCTGATGGATTGGGGTAGTAAGTTCCAGAGGATGGGGGAAGTCCTGGAGAAGTCCTGCAGTCGGGCATGGGAGGTGGAGACCAGGGAGCTATAAAGTAGGAGGTCTTGTGAGGAGCGAAGATTGGTTGGGTGGTATTTGGGTATCAGGTCGGTGAGGTAGTTTGGGGCAGCGTTATGAATGGCTTTGTATGTCAGTGTTAGTAGTTTAAATTGGGCAATCGGGAGCCAGTGGAGGGAATGACAGAGGGGGGTGGCAGAAGAGGAGCGGTTGGTAAGGTGGATGAGTCTGGCCTCTGAGTTCAGGATAGACTGAAGCGGGGATAGTCTGTGATGAGGTAGGCCGGTGAGAAGGTAGTTGCAGTAGTCCAGACGTGAAATAATAAGGGAGTGAACGAGTTGTTTAGTAGTGTCTGGGGTTAGGAACGTACGTATTTTGGAGATGTTGCGGAGGTGGAGCCTGCACGAGTTTGCCAACGATTGGACATGGGGTTGGAAGGACAGGTTTGAGACTAGAGTGACACCTAGGACTTTGGCTTGCGGGGTGGGAAGGATGGTGGCGTTGTTGGTTGTGATGGAGGGGGGGGGTGCGGGCTGGGGGGATGATTAGGAGCTCGGTTTTGGAAAGGTTCAGTTTGAGGAAATGGGAGCCACATCCAGTCTGATATGTCGTTCAGCAGGTGGATGATACGGGCGGAGACTGAAGGGGTGAGGTGAGGGGTGAAGAGGTAAATTTGCGTGTCATTGGTGTAGAGATGCATCTCATTGATTGCTTACAACTGTTAGATAGATTCTTTAAAGTGCAACTAAACTTAATTTGTAAAAAATTAAACTGGGAACAGGCAGCTCTTTATTGAAGAAGAGATATGCTATGCTTCTAATGAATGTACACTAAGCTATGCATATACAGCTCACCAAGCTTTCCTGGATCACTCCAGCTGTGCTGGAATGACTGAATCCTGTTTGCATGCAAAGAATGATGTAATTCCCCCACCCGCCAATCAAGAGGGCAAAAGACCTGCCACCCAGAAGTAGCCAGGGAATAGATGAGAGTGGCCAACAAGATATGTAATTGCTGCATAACTGGAAGGTGGAGGTGAGAGTTTTGGGGATTCTGTTTTAAGGCTTGTTCACACCAGCAAGCAAGCAACACTGTAAACCTGTATTCTGTGTACATTTCCCATCAAAGTGCACTGGGTGTGTGACCAGCTGAGGATGTAAATGTAGAATATTTCTAATCACACGCTCAAATCCAGATGGCAAATACAGTGCATTTGCTTCCACAGGAGTACTGGAGTACCATGCAATCTGGTTGCAGTGGATTTCTAAAAGTAGTGTCAGCACTATTTATAATGCGATCCATTTAAATGAATGGGCTGAAAATCACACTGCACAGAATCACATAGGGATTGTACAGGAACGTGGACTGATTCAGGTGTGAACCAGCCCTTAATGTTTTAAATTTAAATATTTCACCTCTGTAGGTTTATAGCATCACTCCTTTTCAATAAGCACAGTACTGTTTGGGAAAACAGATCTGGAGAAAGATTTTGGAAATGTCTTTTGTAACAAAAAATCTATTTTATAACAAATGCATAGATAGGAAGACATACAGAGAAACTGGCAATTGTATTACTGCATTTACTTAGCCCCCATATAAAGATATTTCCACAAAAATAGAGGGAAAAGGAGGGAGCACTGACAACTTCTGGACCAATGTAAGGTTTGGGTGACATTACAGCTCCTGGAATTCACAGCTGTTGTTGATTTCTTCCTTTCACAGGGGAGCCGAAGCTGTGGAATCACATGACCAGATGAAAGAAAGGTAAATATACAGATCTTTGTCATACGTGTTATGCATGAGCTTTGACTTTGCAATAAGGTGTTTACATTTATATTTTTCCTGAGGAAGGAGTCACTGAGTAAACTTCACTGGTAGTCCTTCAGGCAATACTTGTGACAAGGTTGGTTCCAACTAGAGAGGTCTTTAGACATTAGATCACTGACTCCAGCCCACTAACTGTTTTCCTCTAATTGACTCAAGAAAGCTTGCAACTATATATCTTCTCTGCTCTGTCCCTTAACCTTGAAAAAGGTCACGTGATCTCTCCCAAAACTCCAATCAGACCATGATCCCTTAACCAGTTCCCCTCTCTCCCCTCTATAGCAGCTTTTTTCATAAACCTGAACATGTTCAAATCTGCATTTGTGTCTTCCATTTTAAAAACAATGGATAAAATACTGAAATATTTTCAATCAAAGCTCAGTTTTATTCTTTAAGCTAGCATACTGACTCTGCCTACCATTAAACAGCCAATTAGATGACACACTAAGGTCACTTTGAAAGCTGTATACTAAGACGTTTATGTATGATTTTCATCCAACTTTGTGTAAATGTGCAGCCTGTGTGAAAATATAACTTTCTAGAGACAGACATTTACAGGTTGAAAATATATATGACACTATAATACTGTAGGGATGTAGTATTTTTTCTAAATTGCGTTTTTGTTATTGTGTAAGAAACAGATACCTGCAGATGAGTGTCTGTATATGCCTGTCAGTATTCTTTATACATGGAGTGTTCCATTTCAGTCATTTGCAGTTTGAACTTGCTCCAGCAACAGGTGGTAGTCGATTCTATGAATGTTTGGTAACTCTGTCAATCAGTAGACCTGGGGGACCTGGTGAGATGGTTGGTAATTTATTAAATATTTGGGTCACATCCTGGTCTTCTACCTAGTGAGGATGCTATTGTAATAACTATGTATCCCCTAGGCCTCTGGTCCTAGGGACTGGAGTACTGCAAGGATCTCTTCTCCTGGAAGAAACCATTGGAAATATTGTTTGTTTTTATCTGCAGTTGTCTTCTTAAATAGTGGAGATGAGTGATTGACTGAGTGGATAATCAACACAGGAACACTTCAATACTGTATTATGAAATTTTAAGACAGAGACTCCACTAGAACTTTAGTTATCATGGGGTCACATTATAAGTTGAAGTGTCCAGCCAGCATAATCATTGAGAGAAAGTTTAGGAAGATATGCAAAAGACCAGAAGGTTTTACAGATAACAACTATAAAAAAGGGGATATGTCATCATAAATAAAGTAAATAAGGAAATTCCCCGAAAGGAGTCAGTTTATACCACATAGTAAGACCAGAAAGGAGGAAAAAAAGGAATAGAAAAGATTCAGTTAAGCAGAGAGAGGGGATGGAGCATGGGAGTAACAATTCTCCAAAGGCTGGTCTCAACTCGGAGCACATTTACCTTGACCAATATGTAGTATGCAACAACATAGTAATCAACGCCCCCAATTTATTCTGCAACAGGACAACAACACTCAATATACAGCAAATGTCATAAATGTCATCTTCAGTGTAATGTAGACAAGGACTCCTAGAAGTGATGGTTTGGCCCCATATAGCCTTAATTTCAACATCATCAAATCTGTCTGGGATTACATGAAGAGACAGAAGGATTTGAGGCAGCCTGAAGTGCATCCACAGAAAAGCTGTGGTTAGTTGTCCAAGATGTTTGGAACAACCTAGCTGCCAAGCTCCTTCAAAAACTGTGTGCAAGTGTATCTAGAAGAATTGATGCTGTTTTGAAGGCAAAGGGTAGTCACACCACATATTGATTACATTTGTATTTCTCTTCTGTCCATTTACTTCTTTTTTACTCATTTGGTAATTGATTAAAAACAAACTATTAACACTTCTCTTTCTGAAAGTTTTCTTAATTTACAGATTTTTTTCACACCTGCCTAAAACGCCTAAAACGCACACCTGTCTGTTACCACTAAGTCTGCAAACCACCAGTCAATATTAGGGAAGGACACAGGCACTAGCATGTAACACCTGGCAGATGGAACTTCAAAGCCTGCCAAATTTCATTGTAGTTCCTCTCTCCTAAAATATTTGTTCTCACATTTACATTCTAAAAAGTCCTAGAAGCAAAATAAAAAAAGATTCTCCATAGTTTGTTACTTCTTATTTATGCTTTATATTCCAAACCTATCAGCTACCAATTAACATAACATTTTTACTGGTCAAATGCTCAAACACCTGGACAGTCCCAGGGGTGCATATGTATTTTACACTACAGTGAAGAAGGAACTGCTACTTTGTGCATACATACATTTTTCTAAAGCTAAAATCTATGCGGTAATTCTCAAAGACTGCAACCTTTCCAAGAATCATAACGCCTGGGAAATACTACAGCTCCGACTTGTAAAGAAATATTTACATTTTTATTTTGTTAATGTACCAGTTTCTTTATCTAAATGTTATCTTGTTTGAATACAAACAAACACGTGTGAATTTTTAAAGCAATATTATGCAAAGAATATACAGTTTTTCAACAGAGATATGCTTACCCCATCAGTGTTATTGAATAATAAAAAAAAATGAAGTTTTGAGCAATATTGAATTTCTTGTTAACAATACACTTTCAATTTATCAAGCAGAAACAAAGCGGCATCTAAGCTAGAAGTCTTGTGACATTAGATGTGTAATGCCAAAGCATCCTAAAATCATAGCATACATCAACTTACTATTTAGACTGATCAAATAATTTTTAATATAGCACATTTGCTGTTACAAATAGTGTCATGGCATAATGACAGCAATATGTGAAATCTACTATAAGGTATAAAAGTCACTTCTGTAGCATTCTTTCATCAAAGTGTTTCAAAATATAGAATCAGTATGATAATTTCCACATTTTATTTTAATTACCGTATTTTTTGCTCCATAAGACGCACCTGACCATAAGAGGCACCTAGGTTTTAGAGGAGGAAAACAGGAAAAAAAATATTCTGAACCAATGGACTGCAGACATAGTACAGGAGAGTACCAGAGACTGCAGACATAGTACAGGAGGTGACCAGAGACTGCAGACATAGTACAGGAGATGACCAGAGACTGCAGACATAGTACAGGAGGTGACCAGAGACTGCGGACACAGTACAGGAGATGGACCAGAGACTGCAGACATAGTACAGGAGATGACCAGAGACTGCGGACACAGTACAGGAAATGACCAGAGACTGCAGACACAGTACAGGAGATGACCAGAGACTGCGGACACAGTACAGGAGATGACCAGAGACTGCAGACATAGTACAGGAGAGTACCAGAGACTGCAGACATAGTACAGGAGGTGACCAGAGACTGCAGACATAGTACAGGAGATGACCAGAGACTGCGGACACAGTGCAGAAGATGACCAGAGACTGCAGACATAGTACAGGAGATGACCAGAGACTGCGGACACAGTACAGGAGATGGACCAGAGACTGCAGACATAGTACAGGAGATGCCCAGAGACTGCGGACATAGTACAGGAGATGACCAGAGACTGCAGACCTTTGGGGAGTGGAAGGGGGGGAGCAGGTCATGTACCCAAATTTGACAGGTACCAGCTCCCACTTCTGCGGAGTTGTTCTCCCTCCCCATCTTCTGGGACACGTGACAGGTCTCAGAAGACTGCTGGACCATTCACAAAGTGAAGCACTTCTCCTGCATACACAGTGGGCACCCAGCTGTGAAGCCGCAAGCTGTTACAGCCGGGTGCCCACACTAAAGATGCTGGCACCAGGGAGAGAAGATGGTGAGGACACCGATGGACCGAGGAGCAGGTTCTGCTGCACAGAAGAGCTGAGTGGCCAGCCCAGTATTCTAACACGGCGGCGAGAATACCAGGCCAGCCACTCCATATTCGCTCCATAAGACGCACATACATTTCCCCCTTTTTTTGGGGGGGGGGGGGGAGTGTGTCTTATGGAGCAAAAAATACGGTATTTTTAACCTACTTCTAGTAATCTAAATGATTTTGAAGTTTGTAAAAATGTTTTGAAAATCCCCACACATTTACTGTTCTTCTTTGAATTCAGTGACACATATTCACTATGCCTTTTGAGTGGACACTGTTGTGTCACGCATGTCACAGAGCCTGCCTTCTGAACTACAGAGATGCTGAGAGGAGGTGTTTTGGGAATAACTCCCGGCAGGTAGCAAGGTACCAAGTGTTATTTAGTTATTAGAAATTGAAAGTAAACAGCAGAGGAGAAACTGCAAAGCATTCAGGGAATCCAAATTGTGGAAAGACATGGCTAGCAAACAGAATTCACAATATGAAAACATAATATTTAAGTGAGCTGATATTGTATTGTTAAATATAGCTAGTGTTGATATAATTTTATAATAGCAGCACTATAATAGCAAAAGTGCATGTTGTGACCATAGATTACCTGTTACGTGTTCCTAGTCATACAAGCAGCAACACAGAAAACATGAACAGGATGATGTAAGGGTAAATACAGGTTACACATATTACTGCACATGGTATTGACTCAGTTATAGGAAAATTGACTACATCCAAGAAAAATTGGTAAAAATTAGCTCAAAGTATAAAGAACACGCATCTGAAAAAATCAGATCCCACCAAATATTCCACAACTTATTTCCATTCTTAACCAAAATCTAAACATGGAATATATGTTTGCTAAAGCATATTTAACAATCCCCAAATGTCTAGCAAATTGGTCACCTTGGCTAAATGACCTCTCCAGTAACCCTCTTCTCGGATAGCTCCTGACTGTCACTGAAATATCTATGGTGAAGTTTATCTGATAATCCCCATCCATGATCACATTATGACAATATACAGCCTGAATTGATTTATCGTACCTGCGGTAGTTTTTTTTTTTTTTTTGTTGATAATCGGGTCAAGATGCACAGCAAATCCTTACTGATGTGCATCCTGTATACATGCCTATTATTTTGTTACCTGTATGCCATGTGTTCAGACATGTATTTACAGCATTTCTAAATTACTTGTACTACTATGTATCACTTCTTTTTGAAATAAATAAAATTTTAAGTGAAAAAAAAAGTATAAAGAACAACACTGAGAGGTCTATTTATTAAAAAAAAACACTTTGCAAAAGTGTCAACATTCCTACAAGCATAACAAATAATACCCATCACATTTGTAATATGTGTGCAATAGCTTCTTTGGTGCCTTTCACTAGATGTATGTAACTCTCCATAATATTTGATCCTACAAGAAAAATAGCTCTAAGAACATTTCACCATTACAGTTAACATTCACCAATAGAAAAAAGTGTCTAAAACTATAGATTAACAACATTTGACCAGTAGGGGAAATAATATGAGGGAACCCTCTACAGTGTGTAGCGTTTATGGAGAATCTTGTGTGAACTGCCAAACTAATGGGTGTTCATCCAAGGGAAGCTCTGGCAGCAATGTGAAATGAAACTTCTAGCAGTGATATTATTACAAATGCTAAATGTGACAGCTGCTTCCTGGTTGTTAATGAGCCACCACCTGCCAATGTGCTAACAATCAATGACTCATCCCCAACCTACACGTTCAGCTGTCAGCCACTGACAGCTGTATGTAAACAAACTGAAAGGATAGTGTAAAAAACAAACAAAAGAAAACTTCATGGGCTCCCACCAAAAATCCATACCAGGCATTTCGGGAGGACCCCATGAAAAAACAGCATGGATCTACCCCTCCAAATACCATTATCAAATCCTTCAATTTTGGCATGGATTTTTAGGTAGAGCCTCGTTTAAAAAAAAAAGAAAAAAGTGTAGGAGTGCCCTCAAAATACATGCCACATCCTTATCTGAGTATGCAGGCTGAGAGGCCAGAAAGGGGGGGAGCATATGCCCTTCTCCTTTAATCATACCAGGCCACATGCCCTCAGCATGTGACATGTGGGGTAATTTGCCAGGGCAGACTAAGGTCATGTTCCTAACCATATCCCACCCATTTGCTTATATTGTGGCAGCCAGTATCAGAAGATGACATTCAGGGCGAGTCAATCACCTGGTCTGGATGTGATAGTGGGTGACAGATTTTTTTTTATATTTGGCAGGTTGAGGGCCATCAGCATTGTGATTGAGGTGGATGTACATTACTGAACAATGTGATTGATGCTGATTTTATGTCATAGGACTTTTTTAAATTAAATGAAAAGTGTGTGTGTGTGTTCATTTACTATTTTAGGAGTTTTTTGTATTTGTACTATGTATCCCTTACTCATTCATGTGGGTGGGTGCCAGTTCCCTAACAATCAGGAGGAAGCAGTCACATTTAGCCGTGGTAATAAAACTACCACTAAATGTTTGAATTAATGCTGCAGCTGGAGGTTCATTTGGCCAAACACCCATTTGTTCTGCTGTTCTCACAGGAATCCATAGACTGTACAGAGATCTCCCTTGTATTATTTTGCCATAATATTCTTATCCAATAGCATAAGGATAATTTTATACTGGTGAATGTTAACTTTCACGCTCAAATGTTCTTAGGGATATTTTTCTCTTAGGATCAAATGCTAGAGAATGTTTGCCCAGCAAAACATAACAAGGAAAGTATTACACACATATTACAGACATTACAGGTATTTTTTTAACACTTACATGAATGCTGAGAAAGTCACAATGTAATTTTTTTGTAAAAAGACCCCTAAGTGTCCTTCCCTTTTTTATTTTATTTTTTAAATTTCATAAAAACCTAGCCAGAGTTAAGAACAATCCAAGCTTCTCAATCATCAACTCAAACATTCTCAGCACTCCATCTACAAAAGAAAAATTCCAGCAAGAGCCCTACTGACTTCCATCAATCAATCATGTGCAAGCAAAAATGCTGTTTTTTCATTTTCCTTGCATGTGATTGGATATTCTTTGAAAAGTAAAGTTTTACCTCATTTACTAAGCTCTGGAGCAACTGTGCAAATGCACAGTCTATTTGCCTTTAGTAAATCAACCATGTGAGATGGGGAAACAGCTCTCATTATTTTAACACTGTTTGTGTGGAAGTAAATTAATGTTTTGACTGCCATTCTGCGGTTTAGCCACAAGTTGTCACTGTTTTTCTAACACAGCCTCAGACTGCATAGATATTTGTATATTCATGAAGAGGTGGGGTTTTTTTTTTGCACACAGAGTTGGAGAGAACAGAAAGGAGAGGGAGAAGCCATGTTTTGGAGCATGGTGAATAAGGGGCCCTGTGAGCTGAGAATCTGATGACATCCAGGTGTGAAAGCGTTCCTCCATAACCAAAGCTGCAGCTAAGTGAAGCTGATGAGATTGCTGCCAGGAAGCTGATGAGATTGCTGCCAGGAAGCCTGATGAGAGCAGAGGAACTAAGCAACATATACGGCGAGACTGCATGCTTGTTGGAGAGACATTTGTTCTGTTCAGAGTCACCAGAGGATGCAAAGCAGACCCAGGTCGGTAAGATCGTGCACGCACCTCATTTCAGTGTTGGCACCTTGAGACTGAGTTCAGGTCTATAGTTAGCTAGCTAGGGTCTCTGTTTGTGTCAGGCCACAAGTGTTGTTACTGATCATTGTAAGGACTCCACAAATTAAAGTGACATTTCACATTGGAGAGCTGATAAAATCCCACAAACTCAAGCCAGACTGGCATTTTGCTCAGAAGGAATACTCAGGCAAGTGCTACAGGACCAGTTATGGGAGGGGGAATACTGTAGATTTGTGTAAGATTGTAAGCTGTTGTGCTGCACCGCAGGCTAGCCCATACCATACACCCATACACTGATTCCTGCTCTTTTAGGGTAATAACAGGTAAGGTGTGGCAGCTTAGTTGTAAATAAAATCTTCACTTTCTACCCTCATCCATCAGAAGGTGCTGTGCTGTGCAGCACAAGGGTCTCAGCCTTTGGGCTAGGTGTATGTAAATTTATTGTATGTTTCCAGCATTTGTGGTTGTGTTTATTTGCCACATCTAAGTAAAATTCTATTGCGGCAAAAGGTGGTGTTGGGGTTGCTTTCCTCGTTCGTGACTTCACTGAGTCCTGGGGAGCCCCCCCCGGTACATGGCTTTCAACTACATAGAAAGATGTAAGTTACACCCACACCCAGCAGCAACAACAACGAAAGACTGTCTTATTCATGACAAACCATACCTTCTGAAAAAGCTTTATGTATTCAAGGATCCAAGTGAAAAATGCAAGTAGTTTCTAAGGAACCATGAGTTGCTTCAAATGTTGCACACCCATAGAGCCCTTTGTTAGCGACTGCACTGATACAATTAATGCTCAGATGACAACAGGCACATATCAGCCTTACATCAAAACACATTTAAATGAGACTCTACATACTCTAAAGATCTTACACATACATCAGTTCATGGCTGAGAATGCCATGAATGGTTAACTACAGCAGCCATATCTAAATATAATGAGCTATGTCACTAAGGACTTTTAGAGAAAACCAGCTTTAAAATATTACTGTATTTCCTAAGGAAAAAACCAGAGAATGCTGTCAAGATTTTAGATGATCAAAACAGACATTCATTTGCCACTTCAGACTGTTTTGACCTGATTAATGGGGATAAGTAGTGTCCTTCACTCTGAACATATATGTGGGCACACTAGAAATCACAGCAAGATTTGGCCCTGCTGGAGGTTGTATTTAATACAATGTAAAAGGAACTGAAGGACTTAATTTTTTACACTTATCAAGTGCAATCAAAAACCTACTGACAAAGAGGAATTCCCTACACTAGAAGATGCACTTTACATGAATGACTAAAGTTTCAAGAGAGTCCACATACATATACTGGGTAGAGGCATCTGAAAAGTCCACAAGATACAGCAACAGTGGAAAGGTGATCTTCTTAATGATCCTTATGCTCAAAGAATTAATTAGATTGGGTCGGTTGGTATTGACACTCCTCCCACTAGTAAGAAACAGCACTTGTGAAACTATTGTTGGGAATTCAGGACACCCTCTTCATCCCTGAAAACTCAAGCTATGGGAAATCAAAAGAGATATCAACACCAGCAATGAAACTTCCATAGGAGCAATAAAGTCTAAATTATTGAATCATCTTACAGCTTTGAAGCAACATCCAAAACTACTACTGATAGCAACAAGACTGAACTTTCAACAGGTATTCAGGAATCTACTAAAGACCCTGCACAACAATACAGCTGTTCTTTAGTTTATGATCTATGTACCCAGGGACTCTAAATCACCATATATTTCAGAAAATTCTACAGTACACATAGTGAAACATTTACAATCTCTGGTTCGTCCTGCCATAGCAACTACATCTGGAAGCTGCGTAAAAGTTCCTTGTTGTTGTCTCAGACAGATTTCCAAAGACTTTGTTTCTTCACTCCTGCAGCAAAGACGTGGCTTAAGCTGCAATTCTGCTGCAGATACGTCCACTTTGATCCAAGCAGGTATGGCTGAATGATCAAGCAAGGCTCCAGGAATCTTGCTAGCAGTCAGCGGCCTAAAGCAAGAACATTCTCCACTTCAAAGGTTGAAGGCAGAGCCTCCTCAGGACATCATATTTCAGAATTCTTTTGGATCAACAAGACCTTTCCACTGATATG